TATCAATATATAGATATTATCATTAATGACACTTCGTAAAAACTTAATTTTAAATATATTTGCTTTATAATATTTTAAAATTAATTATTTTCATGAAGCATCATTATGTGGTTCATTGTTTGTATATAGCATTTATATGTTGATAACGTACTAAATATAAACTCTAAAAAAATTTGTTAGATTAAGTTACAAGGCGTGCAAGGATTAGTTTAGACTTTAAATCCTAATTGATAGAAACTTTGAAAATGTAAGCAAAGGTGCTGTTCAAGCTCTAATTAAGATCATTGACTTAATTTGCATATATTTTCAGATTACTATATACTATTCTTAAATATTCCTTGGTATACTTGCTTACTGATCTTCTATGACAATGAAGTTTAATTTTAATTAAATATATATGACCCTTTCCTTTGGCAGCATTAGATTTCAACGTTCAACAAATTATTAACGTTGTCAAGTTTATAATTTCTTTTTATGATGTGATAAGATATTTTCAAACTTTATCCAAACCTAATTTGTTTTTTTAGATAATGTGAAGGGTACAATATCCTAAATTGATCTTGTTTCTAATTTTCAATTCATCACTTGTTTTTTTCTGAGAAAGAATTTTATGCATTGCAAGAATTAAACCCAAATAAAAAATGTTATAAATTTAGATTTGTCAACGGACCACCTTAATGAATTCGAATTTGGTTTTTAAGCTCGAACTCATCCAGATTAACTTAACAAAAATTTTTATTGAATTTTTACTATAAAATATATTTAAAATATTAATATATTAATATAATATTTTTATTTTTTCGAATTTCTTAGACCCGGCTTGGACCATGGCCACCTCTGATCATAAGGTATGGATGGCAAAAAGCATCCATAATTAATTTCAAGATTGATGCAAACTTGACATTTTTAACTGAAAAAAGAGACGAAGTATGTTAAAAAGCTGATATGATTCTTTATGTTTATTCGAGAAAAAAGCTAGTAATGCAAGGAAGGTTTGCAGTATTTTTTTTTTTTTTTAAAGGAGAGTAATACCTTATTACATAAACAAAAAATATGATTTGTTCGAACCTAATCTTTAATATCTTCTTTAAAGCTTCTTTGTAAATCAGAGCCTGCGATATTCTTTTCTTTTGCCACCAAGGTTAGGCATGAAGGGCTTTTCAAGAGCAAAAATTTTCAAAGTTTCAAACTCTGACCATGTACACAATTCCTCACGTGGATATAAGATAGCCTAGTATTCTTATCCTTGAAAATGCCATGGATTGGGATGGGATTTTTTTCTTTTTGTTAGGAATATATGTTATATCAGGAAAGCCCACATTTCTACACTCTAGTTCAGTTCTAAATACATGCCAATAAGGTAAAGTGTCCTGCTTGCTTTACTATTTAAAGCTCTAACAGGACCAGACGGCAATTAACGTTTGCAAAGTTGCAATTTCACACTGAGATTTTTCTTTGAAATAATCCAACTTTTGTTATTGAAGGACCAAATTAAAGAGGACCAACCAGACATGAATGAACCTTCCCCAAAACTTCACTTTCAATAAATACTCTTTCCTTTCGATTTTTTTTTTCCTTTACATCTAGAAAGGGTAGGCTTGTGGCCTAATGAATTTGATTAATTTTGTTGTTGATTTTTGCGTGGAGGTTTCTCCTTTGTGCTTTTCACATGCTGCATTGAAATGGATGTGTAATATATACAGACTAATACAGTCACTTCAAGTCAATTCTACAAGTTACTTCGGTTTTGCATAGAATTTGATCAGATTAAAAGAACCCAGACTTTCCAATGGTAGATACGTTGATGAAATAATAATAAATTAAGCTTCCCTACCAACACAGGCGTTTATTGATTCTATTTTTTTTTCTTTTGGTCAATGATAAGGTTGGCTGGAGTAAGACAAAAAAAATTTGTTGTCATCATTAAATATCTTAATTTGTTCCTGCTCTCCATCAGATTTAAGACTTCTTAATTATTTAAGGGTAAGGAGGCCTGTAGATGTTAATTAAGAATTATTTAATTACTATTTTAAGAAAAAATTTTATATCTTTTTACAAAAAAAAATATATAACTAATTTAAATTTGCAACCTCTCAATATTAATTCTAATGTCATGTCAACTAATATTCACTTAAATAATTCTTAATTAATGACTATTAGACACCCATTTAACTGGAATAGTATTCATCATCATCAATATTATTATAAACTCGATTCCATTGAATTTTAATTTTAAATTTCTTGATTGGCATTCATTTACCCTCAAGAATTAGAATATAATTGCTGTAAAAATTGTCAAAAAAAAAAAATGTTAAAATCATTGATGTTCCTGAGCTTGGGTCTGAAATACGGTTGTTTCCAAAAAAATAATCCACAGGTAAGAGAAACTAGAAAGAAGAGGATGAATACATATTTTCTTTTTCACAAATCTTTATTTCGTACACAATATTATCATAGATTTGTTCATTGCATGGATTTTTGCTATTGCTAGGTAAGGTTAGCAATTTGACCCAAGATCCAAATGTTAGGATTGTGCCTTGAATTTTTTTTTTTTTTTTTGGTTAAAAAAATTTAGGCCTAGGAAAAATCATTTTATTTTAAAATATATCTTATTTTTTCATCGAAGATTTACATTAAACTTATAAATCATTCATAAAAAAATTATTAATAAAAATAGAACTTATACTTTATAAACCACATATTTAATCTTTATTAACTCAATCAACTTCTTTTGTCACTTTGACCCATGGTGGGGCCGCGACATATTGCAAAATTAATTAATACAGGAATAACAAGCACCTAACTAGAATTTAAAAAAAAAAACAAACAAACAAACAAATAGATAAAAACTTCCTTGAATAATCTATAAAAATGGAGAATCAAGAAATCCCTGCTTGGGCTCTCCTTCTCTAATCAGACCTAATCATAGGCTTTTGGGCCTTTCAATTGTTTGCTCATTCACTAAGTGGCCCATGCTTCCGCTTCTCCACATGATACCAAAGGAGGTGGGAAAACGGATTGCTTGGGTTTCATCTTTGTTTTACTTTTGTCTTTTTGGGTTGCTCCTAGGGATTAAAGCAACAAAATATCTTCCCCTATTATTAATTATTATTATTATTTACATTAAAAAGCCTATTTCCCAAACCTACCAGCAGAAACGACTGAGTTATAAATTCGAACGAGAAGGGATCTGTTATCTTTTAGTAATATATAATAATGATGGTGGCCACCTCGTATAGCCAGGCAAAAATGGACCTCTGTCTCAGTTCTTCATTCAGCACACTTAAAAAACCCATGTGGCATTGCTTACAAGCTACTCAAGCAAATATCTTTGCAACTAATATGATTATCAGCTAATTAACAGATATAATCAACAATCACTGTAGCCATCAACTCAGTTTAATTTTCCAGTAAATACTTAATCCCATTAACCTAACTTTTAAGTCTTATATCACTCTTTTCATGTATTATTATTATTATTATGTTATTTGTTGAATGATTTATTGAGTGATTTCATTGATTTTTTTTTCTTTTTCGAAATTCTTACGATCTGTTAGGGCATTTACTTAAAAACCATTATAATTGAATTTAAGGTTGAATTGTACTCTTATCATATGGATCTCTAGCCCAAAACAAAAGTTCACTTAACATAAACCAACAAAACTTTTTGACTTCTGCAAATAAAGTGGGACGAATGAGAAAAAAAAAAAAAAAAACACATATTCAACTTGACCAAGACAAAATATGGAATCCCATTTTTTGGTTGGCTTGACATATTTGCACCGGTCCCCATTAAAAGATGCTCTGAAGAACGTCATACAGTAAAACCATTAGATCAAAATCTAATTCAAATATAGTTTTAAAGAAAAAAAAAAGGAATAAATAATTAAATGGTGAAAAGGCAAAATACATATACTTTCAACCAATAAAATGAAAGTCAGCCCAAACAGTGTTACTCAAATTAATTAATTAATCTTAATGATGCCATACCTCATTAGCTGACCAAATTTGAAAACTATTTAATGCATAGTTTAGATTCAAGTATTTTAGTAGAGTATTAATATTTTTAAATCTAATAATATTATTAAATTTCTCAAATCACAAATATAAAAAAATAAATAAATTAGAGAAAAGAAAATTCAATGTATGATTGTTTTAGTTGTTAGAAATTTGAGACCATGACCATTGACTTAAAAAATGGAGCAATTTGCGCAAGACCAATTCACCTTCGTCTGCCCAAGTGGGATCCTCTGTTCATTTTCTGCAAACCCACGGGGGACGGCGATCTGGCAAAATCAAATCACTTCCACGAAATAATTAACCCCCTCCCCCCCCAACCCACGTCCAAACTATTAATAAGATCAAACATGTTCACGTTCCAATCACACTCTGGTCTAAGCGGAAACATCTGCAACAAATATAGTCCAAAAAAAGAATTATTTTTTATTTTTATATACTGGCAATGTACTTAAAAATCATCATTTGTAAACTATTTGTGCAGAAATCATACTGAAATTGAAGATTTGCAAGATTTGTCCTTTTTTGGCTTCTGAGTTCCAATTGATCCAATTAAGTGATGGAAAGTGGCATATCTTCTGGTGGAAAAAAAGTGAATGTTGAATAGAACTTTAGACATTACGCTCTGCTGCAACTGGTCTAAAGAATTAGTCCGACTTTGCTACTTTTAACTCCAACTTTAGCAGAAAATTGGCAGCAAGAAATAGAGAATGAAATCCAGCCGTTCCCTTAGAATCAAAGCATTAGTTACATGTAATTTTCAATTCCAACTAGAAGATCCCACCACCCACCTTTTTTTTTTCCCCTTAAAAAATAATGGACCTGATAATCTATACCACTAGTCTTTAGATTTATAAAGAGCCCAGATTCATTGAACCGCTATGACCAAATCAAATTATAATATTACTACCAAACACCTAGGAAAAAATAATCGCATGCTTCATCTAAGTAGAGCACAAAAGTAAAGCAAACTAAGATGCAAATTATATCAAATAGAAACTTTATTCCAAATATAATATCTTAAACATGTGAGGATGAGCGATAAAGATCAAAATTGATCAACAGATCAAGCAGTTTTCTCAGATAGCTAAATCCCTTGGACGGCTCAGAAGCACAAGAAAAAAACCAAAGGATTTTTCACCCCTCAAGAGGAGGAGGCTCATTCCTCTTTAATTCAGAAAACATGTAAATTAACTCACTCACAAAAAAGCAGTTCCCAATTATCTCATCTTGGAGAGTCCCTGAGATCTCTGATACCCTCAAACATTAATTAAAAACTTAAATATACTCCCAACTACTAAGATTATACCATTGAATTAATACTACTAATGCCTAACTGCAAAACTTATGGGCATACAATGTTGAGGGGGGGTTCTTCGCCAAAAAGAAAATCATCAGTGCTGAAATCACAATCAGGGAGCTCACTAGGTTCATCAGCTTCGATCCCACAAATACTGAGGTCTTCAATGCTGCAATAATCCTGCAACGTCATGCCAAAACCATTGACAAACAGATAATCAGCAGGCTCTGCATCTAAGTTAAGCTCTTGTCCAACTGAACCAGACAGTAATGGATCATCAATGAAACAGAAATCCGGTATCTGCAAATTGGCAAAGTTTGCATCAAACTCTACTTTGTTTGCACCCCCACAATCATCATTGTTATTTGAGGCTGAAACAGATTCAGAAGTATCCAATTCGAGCACTGATAATGGCGAAGTATGTGATAAAAGGCTCTCAGACTCTTCAGAAGTAGCAGGAACAGAGCTACTGTTGAGAGATGGAGCAGCTGAACATGAAGCATCATTGCTTTTATCAGAGGAAGCAGAAGCAGCAGCAGCAGCAGCCAAAGCCTCAAATTCGAGCTTTTTAGCATCATAAGCCTTAGCTGCATCTTCAAGGGTGTCGTACGTTCCCAACCAAATCCTGTTTTTCTTCAGTGGGTGCCTGATCTCTGCAGCCCATTTGCCCCACTTCCTTTGACGAACACCAACAGGTTTTTTGGTTTTAGCCACTAGAGATTTCTCATCAAGGATTTTACTCAAAGCCCTTTTCCTGCTAATAGGGGTTTTAGAGTTACTGTCTTGAGATGATGTCTCAAATTCAAGAGGTTTTGACCGAGAAGCCAAACCTAAAACAGGAAGTTTAATGTCATGAAAAACACGTTTTCCCCTTGGGGCCTTCCTAGCAATAGTTCTCTCTGATTCATCTTCACTTGAAGATGAATCGGTGGCATAAGGATCATGAAAGATAACACGAACTTTTCTTATCATTTGGGTTTCTTCTTCACCAACGATTGATTGGATTTTCTTGGACTTTTTGCAGGATTTATTTAGATTCATGGTATGTTTTCGAGATGACATTTTTGGCAGCAAAAACTGGTAACAACTAACTTAAAACCCCCCTCAAAATACCCGGAAAATTGCGGACAACTATGAAAACAAAATCAAGGGCAAAAAGAGTAAACAAAATCTGAGACTATCAAACCGGTGTTATCAAGTATGAGCCCCTCTGAGAAACAAGAAAAGATAGAAGAATCGTTGTTTTATGTGAAAACCCCCAAAACACTTTACTCCAGAACAAGTCCTGCAAATAAAACAAAAAACAAGATCTATATCAAAACACTGATAACACCCAAAAATAATCACAAAAACACCAGATTCAGATAAAAAAACAGAAATGAAAAAAGAACTGAAACATGGGTTTTTAATCAAAAGGCAGGGTTTATTCGTTGACAAACCTTTTTGGTATCAAACGCATCGAAGCTGTCGGGAACACGAGATTCAGTCTCTGCCAGTAGAAGCAGAGGATCATGCAATAGTAAGAAGAAACAATTGTTGTTGAGGATAAAAGCCAGAGCTGCAACTGAGCCCCAATCAAAACCAGATCAAACTCAGCCGTCATAAATCCACTAATCAGCCTCCCTTAGCTCTTCGAAAGCGCAACAAAAGATATCACCAGAGAGAAACCACAACAACAGTACCAGCCTATCACTAAAGCCCCAGCTTCGCCTTTTTTCCCTATCAAGAGAAACCGAAACCGAAACCAAAATATCGTCTTAGCTAGTGCTACATATAGCAGGAGAATAATAAAAGAAAAAGACAGAGAAAAGGAGCTTACAAATCTATGGCTCTGATTTTTCCCTCTCCAACTGCATTACCTGACAAAAATCAGCTAAGATAGTTATTGTCGCTTCCCTTTGAACAGTCATATAGACTACAGGTAGAGACCAGAGTGAAAAAAAATGACCGACTAGCGATGAACATGGACACAAATGTCTATGGAAGAAACGTCATAAAAAATTCATTAAAAAATGTCTCCATTTCCCTAAAAAAAATCTAGAAAAAATAATATTAGTAGTTACCATACCTTTTACCTTTTGTGGGTTTGGACTGACTCTCGATTTCTTCTTTTTATTCTATCCTTGACGTCTCTTTCTCGTTTCTTCTGCTCTGTTCTCTTCTTTCCCCAACGCCATTCGCCTTTTCCCAAGCAGTCAAAAACCTGCATTAAAGAGAATTTTATATTTATCACATATATTTATTGATTATGGTAAATAAAATAAAAAAGGAAAATGAGCTGTCATGCGCATCCATTGTATTACCGATCTTATCATGTCATGCGTATCATGTTTCCCAGCCTCAATTTCTTTTATTTGCGCGAGGTTTTTCAACAACACATTCCACTCGCGATTGTGTCCACGCTCGAATCGTTCATCACCTTAACTTTGGAGCCATGAGATCGGCCTCTTTGGTGGCGTGTTCGTTGCACGTGTGAGGTGAGGGATTGGGGATGGAGTGTCTGACGTCCGCAGCTTTTGATTGGTAAATGAAGCGCCGCGAGTCGGCAACGAATGGGTAAGGGTTTTCTTGGCATGTATCGATGAATTCTCGTAATATATGGGGCCTAGGACTCTTATAAATTACAATGTTGCCACTGATGAAGTGACGAGTATTTCTTTTCTCCCACAATTTTACCTTCTTAGGATTCCTTGGCATTCCTTTTTCACTTTTCTTGTTAGATTTTTAGAGAAAATCTCGGTATTTTCAATTAATGATAAAATAAAAGAATTCAAAAACAATCAGATCAAATTTAAAATTTTCTTTTCTTAATTATCAGAATTTTTAGTAATTATTTTCGGTAGAAGAGATTTATTTCTATAATCATTAAAAATATTGCTTGCGCTTTCGCTTTATTTTCATTTTTGTACTTAATGTTTTAAATAAGATAATATTGTATTATTTTACAGAAAAAAAAAGAAAAAAAAGTTTTTGACTTGCAATTAGCCCTTTGATTGGGAAAAAGACACGTGAACAAATAGAACCTGTTGCAATTTACAAACTTCAAAAGCAAGGTAGCTTAATAATTCATATTTTTTTTTCTTTTGATAACTTTGTTTTGTTGTTATGATTTATTAATAAAATATCAAATTTTTAACTTCAATAATTAAATTTTAAATTTTAAAAATTTTATTTGAAAAATGCTAATTGAATGAAACAAATAGTAATTTTTTTTATTCAAAGAATCTTATCTTTAAAAAATTAATATTTTGTAAATAAAATCTAAAAGTTATAACTATTTAATCTGTTTATTGAAAGATGGCATTATAACACATATTATTAAAATTTTATATTTAATAAATTATCAGTAAATTATATAATAATAATTTAAAATAATTTTAAATTTTAGAAATTAAATATAATTAATTTTAAAAATATATTTAAATTAAAATTTTTAATGAAATATTAATATATAGTTAACTACTAATGAATAATTTTATACAAATGATAATATATTAAATATAAATTATTATATTTATTTCTTTACTTTCGACAATTAAATGTCAAAAAGTTAAATGAAAGCTACCCTATCCGTTTTTTCTGTTTACATTAACGGCATCGTAAATGGAGTATAATATAAGAAATTGCATATATAACGCCATGTCGTGGAAATCCGACACCCAATATTTAAGACAACCAACGCCCATATTTTACAATAACTATGCATTCATATTCGAATGGGCTAATGCTATTAATTACTCATAAATTATATAAAATTATTTATTACGTTATTTAAACTTTTAAAATATTTAATATGATATTTAAATTATAATTTATAAATTTATTAACTAATATAATATTTAAATGATTGATTATTTGTCATGTATCTTAATTTAAAATTAAACATATTAAAAAATAAATATTATATTAATTAATATAATCAATAATTTAAATTCCTATAAAATAACATTTGAATATTTTTGGTTTTTTTCATTTCAAATTTTATTTATCCACTTTCAAATGTTACTTTTTCAACACAAATACAAATTACATGATTTCAAACCTTTATATTTTGTAAAAGATACTTAAAACCCTTTAGAAAACATATTTTTATAAGATATGCAAAAGTTAACTTATACTTTATTTTATGGGTGTAGCAAAAAAAAAAAAAAAGTAGGGTCATATTTTCATCATATATACATTATATTAAAGAAAATTTTCTATGCTAAATCCAAAAGTTCTAAGTTTATAAAATTATAGATTTATTATCTCGTTATTTCATTAAAAAGTTAATACAATGATAATGAGATATTATTTTAAGTTTATGATGATCACACATGAATTTTAAAAGTTGGATTTAATTTTGTTCTTACTTTGTTATTTTTTTCAAAGAAGAAGATAAATGATTTGTTTAGGTATAAGAGTAAATATTTCTTTATTAAATTAAATGTATTAAAAAAATATAATCATAATTAAATAATTTTTAATATACATCAAAGAAACCAATAAGGTAATCAAATTAACCACCTATCAATCATCATCTAATTTTGAATAGAACTTGAATCTAAAGACTTAAAATTTTAAATATTTTATGCTTATTATTGAGATAAGATTTTATTAATAAATAAATAAATAAAAGTTAAAATTAATCTATGTAATAATATATTTAAAATATTTCACATGTTAAATTTTAATTGAAAATTTTTATTAGAGGTCAAATTGTATAATATAATATCAATATAAGATTGTTAATATTTGAAGAAAAATGTTTAATTTAAAAGTTTAAATATTTTATTCTTACTATTGAGACAAGATTTTATTAATAAATAAAAGTTAAAATTAATGTAATAATATATTTAAAATATGTCATACTTTACATTTTTATTGAATATTTTATTAGAGGACAAATTGTATAATATAATATAATATAAGATTATTAATATTTGAAGAAAAGTGTTAATTAATATATAGTGATACTTTTTTAAAGGCATATTATTTTTTAAATAAATAAAAATTAAAATAGATTAAAATTTCTAAAAATAATGGGGCCTTAAATTACTGCAGCGGCTTCTAAAGAAATTACTGGTTATTACAATGCTGAGTTGTCAGCTGTTACGCAGCGGAACAAAATCAGAGGGCCACGTCATCATTCTCAGCATGACAGTAACGACCCTTCAATTCTAGAGAAAAGCGACGAATAAAAAAAAAAAAAAGTAGAAAAGAAAAACGAGAAAAAAACAAAGGAAGGAAACAAAAGTTACTGCAAACCGGGACTTTCCACGCAATTGCAGACAAAAAAGGGTCCTCCCTCCTTAATCCTCATCATCATCGACCAACCCCAACAAATGGCAGACACATGTCCCAAATCAACACGTGTCGACCGATGCTTTTGTGTAGGACCGAAAATAGGTGTTTTTGGCGGGAATGAATAGTGCCGTGGACTCCACGTCACCTCCTTTGGCGGGAAACCGACGCTACCTTTCACTATCGGTCCACTCATCTTCATTTGCGTAGCCCACCTGGCCTCTGCTCCAAAAACTAATTCCGCCTCCCGGCCTTTTGAGCTTCTGGTCAACTTGTCATGCATGCATCCATTAGGCATGCGATGCTCTTATCATCATCATCATCATCATCATCATCATTATCATAAACATAGATTTAATTTAATATAAACAGACTAGTGCAAGACTGAATGCATGAGGAGGAGAGGGGTCACGTGACTTGTGATGACAAATATCCAATGGACATAAAGTGGACTTTCCTTTTTCTTGTTGTGCCAGTATTGGGCATGGGAAATGAGCAGTGGGGACGTTTTAGTTGGTGGCGATGCGGGACAAGATATCAGTGCTCTTTTCTTTTTTTTTTTTGGTAGGTATTGAATTTGGGTGGCGAAGCATGCATTCATTGGATTCACTGATGCTCGCTCGATGCAAACATGGCCACGTGCCTCGAGCCCTCGACTGCTCTGCTACACTCCGAAGCTCCCGCTCTTTCAATAAAAAATTCATTTCCCTAGTGCATGGTCGGCTGTGCTACAATAGTTATAACATATACCATACGTCCATACCAGTATAATACTATTAAGTCGAACTCATTTGAGACCCAAATTTTGCATTACTGCATTTTAAACCACAACATCGATTAACAGCCTCTAAGCATGCAATGAAGATTTAGACCTCACTTTGTTTTTGCTTGGTCGCATGGAAAAGGATGGGCACACATTAAGCTCATCGCCTCACCATGAAGAACCACAATTATGGAACAGCAAATCATCAACAATGAAAGGGAAAAAAATACCAAAAAGTACTTAAAAGTCTGAAGAAGAACTTAATGATCTTGTACCCCCATTTTCCAGGACATGACAAAGTTCTTTCCAACAGGTAACCTCAAACCTGTAACCTCTACCATCAAAGAGGTCTTCCTGTCTTGTCCATCATCAAGATCTTGCAGCTGCTTCTGTTCCGTTGAGCTCAATTCTACGCTGGAAGCACCGATGGCTACTGGAATTCCATTAATTTCAAGAGCAGATGTCTCTCTATTTCCACCCAGTCCCAACACAGTTACCTTCTCAATTATCCAACCTTTGTCTAAAGCAAACTTGCCATCCTGAACTTCTGACCAAACCTTCACAGTTCCTTTGTTCATTGTTGCATATAATTGGACATACGTTGAACAGTAATTTCCAAGTTTCATTTCTGGAAGCTCGTCATTGTCAAGATAAAGGTTTCCTTTGGCTTGTCCTTCACTAGTCCCAGCAGGAAAAGTCACTACAAGAGTGAATGGTGTCATTCTAGCTTCCTTTGAGATCATACCACCCTGCTGCATTGGTAGTATGATATTCTGGAACAAATGTACATTAACCTCAAGCAAAGGTGCATCGAGGGTAACGTACTGTCCCTTTGACACAATGGTTTCTGTCATATCAAAGACATTGTACCAAGAACCCGGAGGGAAGAGTGCTTTAACCTCAGTTTTCCCCTGCTCAAGCACTGGAGACACCATGAGACTGCTTCCTAGCAAGAATTGGGTGCTCAGCCCATAACACTCCTTGTAAGCAGGAAACGAGAAGAAAAGTGGCCTGGCTATTGGTGCTCCACTTATATGAGCCTCATATGTCAGCGTGTAGAGGTAAGGAAGAAGTTTATACCTCATCCCTAGAGCATTTTTAGCAGATTTGGTGACAGTCTCCCACTGATACAGCTCCTGTCTAGGAGAGTAGTAATTTGCATGATCCCTAGAGAAAGGGTAAAAAGCACCTACTTGGATCCAACGGTTACACAACTCTTCTGTTGGAGCAGGATAGAACCCACATATATCAGCACCAACCATTGGAACCCCAAATATACCAAAATTAAGCACAGTAGTTATTGAATACTTCAAATCTTCCCAAGTGCCCTTATTATCACCTGTCCAATGAGCAGCATATTTTCCTGAACCAACATATGTAGAGCGTGACAATATAAATGGCCGTTTGCCTTCAAGCCCTTGGAGGGCCTTGTGAGTAGCTATGGCTTGAGAAAAGCCATAAAGACTATGAGCATCATACTCTAAAACACCATTGTAGTGAACTGCGCTAGTGGCGATAGTTTTGTACCCTATTGGTACCTGCAAACCTGAAGCATTTATCTTGTATGGTGGATCATCCCATCTTGTCTTTGTTATGTTCTTGCAGTCCAAGCAACAGATCCAACCAGGTCCAGTGCCACTTGGACACTGCTTTCCTTTTGGAATTGTGCACTTCCCACTACAGAAATTTGAAGCTTCATTCATGTCAATCCAGAGCCCATCAACAGGGACAAGTGCATGAAATCGTCGAATTTCATCACCCCACCATGCAACAGTTTTAGGGTTGAGGAAGTCTGGAAAATTAACAGCCCCGGGCCACACCTGGGCCAAGTAGGGCTCACCCTCATACTTGATAAATACGTCATTGGCAATGGCTCTTTGGTATACACCATAACTAGAATTAACACCAATTCCAGGATCAATTATGACAATGTATTTCATGCCTATGCTATGTATTTTGTCGAGGAATGCCAGAAGCTTTGGACGGGGGTAGTTGACTGGGTTAAGGGTGAAGTCCTTATGGCCATCCATATGATCATCATCATTCCAGATCACATCAAGTGGGATCTTGGCCTTCTTGTAGTTCTCAACAACATCTTCAACTACAGAAAGGTTATGGTAACCCCATCGACATTGGTGAAACCCTGTTCATCAAATTTATACAAACAAAAAATATGAATATATTTTATTAATCTCAAGTCTCTACTGCTCATGTAAGATACTAAAAAAGAAATGCAAAAAAGAAAAAAAGGAAGACCTTCAAGCACTCTCCTGCTAAATGAACAGAATTAGCATCAGTACAGCAAGAGAAGAAAATACTTGAGGAGTTAGTCAGATTAGCTCTAATGCTGATAGTCTTCACTTAACACAAGAAAAGGAAAATCTAATGACCAATTGTATTTGCTGTTCTATCCCTTCTTTACTTAGTTTCATTTTTCACAAAATGAGTATTGGGATGAAATTTTGCAGCAAAAGATTGTTATGGCATCAAAATCCAGGAAATTTCTAGCAACATCTAAATGACTCAACTGCAAGGATTTCCCCATAACTCAAGTAAATATTTTACCATTCTACCTATAAGCGATGACACGCAGCGGCAACTCCACATGCTAGTGCCTAAATACGAACAGATTAGTCAATTTGATCATGAGATATTTATCACTTGTAAGCTGTGTTATAGGAGATGCCCTAAAAATTTGTAAAAAACAAGCCTCAAAGTCACATGCGAGTCTACTATTTTTTTACAATTAGAATTCTATTATACATGGTGCCTTTGATGAGGAAAAAGGAGCAGAAAAACTAGTTTTTAACTTTGATCATATAACTACTGACACAAAAGGTGCTATAACATGAAGGGCAGCACAAATTATTTGGCTTTAGATACCCCACAGGATAAGGAGTCTAAACAGAGCTTTGGAACATGTGTGACAAATGCTTGAGGGTACATCCATCTAGGGTTAGCGTCAAGTTAGGGCCTACTAAGTAATTATTATAGCATTGTGATAAAGATGTGATAGTGGCCATCCAATTTCCACCTCATGTAGGGAAGATGATATTGAGCAGCGTACAGGTAAAGAGTGAGAAAGATAGTGCCTCCATGGGGGTTCCACAAGTTGCTTTTTACTGAATGGGTTAGCACTAGCAGGTCAAAGTTATTCCAATTCTAAAATAAAAAATCTAAAAGTAAAATAAAATAAGTACCGGGAACTTAATCATTGATTGTATCACTATAAAGACCTAAAACGCCAAAAGTCATTTTATCATTGATCAAAACAAAAAGATTTCTTAGATCTAAAAGGTTGCTTCTGGAAAATTAATATACCAAGACATAGATAGATGGGGACTTTAAACAAGACAATAAAGCAAAGCAGATATGGGACCAATCCACCTACCCACATTAAAATGGGAACATAACATCTCCATCCTAATACATTAGACAAATAGCAGATATAATCATGGCTCCAGCTGATTAAGAGATCATATCAGCAATCTTACTCTTCACTATTCATCACACCAAGGTTTCTTATATAAATATTGACAGATTGCCTATTTTGATTCAAAATTATGCGGCATATGGTTTATTAATGCAACATCCACCATCAAAATTTAACCTTTAAGAATGAAGAATATAGTCATATCTGTAATATTTTATTAGTCAATTCCATTAGATTTAGCTTCAGAACTTTGCCTAATTAATCTTAGTAAAACATAAATGCAATGCCAGAAAACAGAAGAAAGAAAAAATAGAAGTGAGAAAATGGAAGGCATACCTAGAGACCAGTAAGGCATGGGAGCAGGCCTGCCGATAAGCGAGGTGTATTGATCAACAACGGCAAGGGGAGTGGGTCCAGCAAAGAAATAAAAGTCAAAAACACCACCAATAATCTTATACGTCAATGAATTCCCTCTGTAAAACACATCCATGCCATTGCTGTTCAACAAGAGAACAGCATGTGCAAACGGCTCACCACCCACATTCCTCAAGTCCATATAAACAGGGTGGGACCCATACAAATCAGTGTTCAGATTAATAGCCGACACATCGGTTGTGTACAATGTGTAAGGGTCATTGGGATACAGCTTGATTCCATGCGGTTGAGTGTTCTCTCCAAGTCCATACAGTGAAGCATCTTCAGGCAACTGAGTGGAAATCTCCAAGTACTGGTCTTTAAACACCATTTCTCCAAATGAGTCTGATCCACCTGAGCTGGAATTGAAAAGGGTCTGCCCATTTGATTTCCTTTTCACTGCAAAGCTAAAAGGGTCAACTGTGTAGCTGAATATGAGCTCGGACCCCGCAAGCTCTGAGACTGTTATAGGGTTCTTTCTTGATCTCCCAATCGTTTGTTTTGACACAGGTGGTTGGTCTCTTGGTAAAAGACTGTATGGGAGTTCCCATCTCCGCTTCTCTGCATCTGTTATGTGTACCCTCAAACGATCTTGAGTCTCATGCCTATAAAAGAAAAAGAACAAATTTTTATTAACAAACAGATGGTTTAACAGTGAGCTAACATTAACAGCAATCTACATGCAAAACAGGTAAAAATTAGCAGTGAATGTACTCACTTAACAAAGAATTGCAAGAGAGGAATATCAGGACCATAAATGTTGTTCTTTTGCTTGACCTGAAGGTGACCCAAAAAGCCACCATCAGGGGTCTCTTCAATGGAGATCAAACGGTAGCCTTTGCCAATCTTAGGGGGGGCAGACGAGGAAGACGAATGCCCTCCGGAGAAACATGATATTAAAACGAGAAGAACATAGAAGAAACTCGAAGAAAGTAATGAATTTGGAGAGAACATTGCTTACAAAGCAGAGAGCAGAGCAAGTGAGCGAGGAAAGCAAAGAGAGTTAAAAGGACTATATAAGACTGTTGAAGGAAAGTAGAGGTCATCGGATGTATGAGTGATGAGTGGGGTGATCTTCGACACGTGATGATGATGGTCTCTGAGCCAGAGGTCCATTGCTATTTGTTATCTTTATCCACAAACAGTGGTCCCACATGTATCAATGGCTTTGATTGTGGCGGTACGTTCGATTGATTGATTTATTAGTCATAGAATACCTTTGGTATTATCTCTCCTTTGCCGATATCGAATGGTACACCAGTAGTAACAACCACCCCAAAAGTAGCTTTGGCAACACATCTGTTATGGTAATTAGTATCAGCCAATAGAAAATTGATCACGGAAGATGAATCAGCTAGAATCCAATGCAATCCACAAATTGACGGAATCCTAGATTGTTCACCTCAAATTCAGTTTTCCGAAATCCCTAAGTGACCAAATATTTAATTTTATATAAATATATAAAAATTAAAATTTTTTATAGAAAAAATTTGATATGAATAGCTTATATTTTTTTATATACGAATAAGGTTAAAAATCATCATGTTCTTTAATAAATGTATTTTGTTTATTTAAAATATTTTTATTTTACTATAATAATATTTTTTAATATTCAATAAGTAATTAGTTATACTAAATTAATTACATATATTACATTTTAAATATTCAATATATTTATCTTATATGAATAAATTACAATTAATTTGGTCAATAATACAGATAAAAAATTAAATAAAAAAGTAATTAATCATGAATATATAACCATATATTTTTATTATTTATGAAAAATTAAATGAAATTTAATATAGTAAATTAGGAAATAAAAATGAGTCATTTGATGAGTTGACAATATAATTAAATCAGAGAAGATTTTGTTTCATTTTAAACAAAAAAAAAAGCATCTTAGGCAATAATTCAGAATAAAATTTAATTACTTATAAATATATTTAATATTTTCTTATTACTTATGAAAAATTAAATGAAATTTAATGTAGTAAATTAGGAAATATTTAATGAGTTGACAATAATGATACAATTAAATTAGATAATTTTTTTTAAGATAATATATTCGGTAAGAATTCAAATTTTATAATTTTGAAAGAAAATTTGTATTAATTTCATGTCTTTTATTACTTATTACATTAAACGATTAATAATAATAAAATTTTAATACATTTATGATAATTTTTTTGTAGCAATATAAATACAAATGTTCTTTCAAAAAGAATATTAAGTAAATCGAATTTAATTATTCTCTAACTTTATTTTACTATAATTTTATCTCTATTATCTTATAAAAAAATTATTTTATAGTCTTACTTGCTATTTTTTTGTAAGTTTATTGAGATCTTCCTCCTATTTTTTTTCTTTGTGCAATTGTTAGGTTTTATTTTTAGAATAGCAATTTTATCAAATATATATTTTAGTGTTTTTTTAATTTATAATTTAAAGGTGAATATTTGATATTATATACATATATATATTTTTTGAATAAGATGTTACTAAATTTTTTTTTTTCGAGGTATTAATTAGTATAGGCTTAATGGATTTCGTTTATTTTAGGAGAATAATCAATAAAATTATGTTGATTTACAAAGTTTTACAATCAAATATAAAAAATGATTGATTAGTTTTGATGTTATAATGCTGGCAGGCTATGCATTGATTAGGAACCAAATTATAAGCATTCTCAAATATTGTATTACAAACTAAATCAACCTAAAATGATATATTTGATTATGATATGACTAAATATCTATTGGTTTCAATTAAGAATGAAAATTTTATTTTATAAGTTCTTAGTGAATGAAGCTTTAGATAATGTAAGGGTTGTTAGTTTGTAATTTTTAAAAATTTTATAAAAAAAATGTAACAAATTATATTTTGTAAATTTTATCACTTTTTTCATTTAACAAGTCCTAAAATTTTAAAATTACTAAAACTAAAATTGAATTTTTTATATTAAATTTCCTATATTATTTTATATATTTTTTAAATAGATATTCTTAATTCAAATTTTTTAAAATAAATATTTTAAGATACCATATTGATATGCCATCAATTCATAATAAAAATACACACAATGTTAGAAATAAAAATGCTTATGGTTTGGTTTTAATATAAGTTAAAATTCTTTCATAATATAAGATATATATATATATATTAATACAACTCCTTCATCAATTATAAGAAAGCATACATACAATTAAGTTATAAATTTAATATATTAATATTACAAAAAATTTCATACAATTAATATCAAAATTTATTTTCACATTGATTTTTTAAACATGTAACTTTATCTAATTAATTATTTATATATTCTCTTAAAATTAGGTGAATATATATGACATTAAATTTAAAATGGTAATTATATTTTAAATATTCAACACCAATTCACCACCTTAAAAGAAGTAAAGAGTTTTTAATTGTTATAAGCAAAATTGAAATTGTTAATTTGCATATACTTTTAAAGAAGCAAAATAGCAAACTATATTACTAATTAAAAAATGGAAGTGAAAAAAATAAAATTATTTTATACTTGTTAGTCATAGACTCCAAGGGCGTCAGATTGTGTGTTATTTTTTATTAAATTGTGTGTATTATTAGGTGTTGTTATAATTATTTTCTATTCATGCATTGGAGCTTTTCTGATGAGATTTTTGAGTTTTGTAATCATTCAGTTTTATGAATAAATTTATATTTTCGAGTGAGAAAAAAATCTATACAACATTTTTTTTTTGTTTTGTACTTTTATAACTTTATTTTTAATAATCAAATCAAGATTATTTATTAAATTGTAAATAAAATGATGATAAAAAATTATTTATGGTGACTTAAGTTTTTTTATCAATCATTATCAATATTTTTATAATCATAAAAATAAAATTTAAATTGTTCTTTGTAATTATATTAAAATTTAAATAATATTATATTACAAAAATTATTATAAGTACACTTATCCTGTATATAATAAAAATATAAAACTTTAAATGTTCAAATAAATAATATCTGATAATTAATTTTTTGAATTAAAAAATTATAAATTTTTTGACCTTAAAATTTTTAAATATTTGATAGAAATCAAAACTTAACTTTTCAATGTTATAAAAAAATTAATATGTTAAATATATAATCATGTATTTATTATGTTAATATAATCTTTGACTATTTTATTCAAATAAAAATTTTAAATTAATAATATTATATATAATAAATATTATAATCGTTTACTTATCCGTACATAACACGGTTTAAAATTAATTTTAATAGGAAGATCTGAGACTTGAACCATGATTCTTGGGCCTTCAGCTCCCAAGTTTCAGCAAGTGCATATTACTTTTAAGCTGGTTTTTTTCCCTTCCTGAAGTAAAAAAGCAAATGAACAGTACTTTACGCACAACCAGTTACCAGCTGTAAGCTGTGACAAAACTGTAGAAGCAAATCATGTTTGCATATAAAGAATTCCAAAGCTTGATAGTGTCTGATATTATAAGATCTCGTGAGCCCTCATTGAATAATGTCATTTTCTGTCCCCAAGAAAGTCCACATTTCTGTGCTATATAACTTGACTCGATTAAATTACTACCACTACTTTGTCTTCTGATGGCATATGTTTCAATTATTACGTGACAGAAACCAAATGGTGTTTGCATACATGAATTGCACCAATGGGCATTGGATGCTTGGCTTTTGGATCTCGCGCTTTCAGATCTTAGGCATTTTGCCTATAAATGTATCACTAAACTTTTACTCTCATCATTTTGCTTCTTATATAAACTTTGAATTTATATATATATATTTATAAAAAAATATAAATATTAAAATTTAAAATTATTTTTTAAAAGTGGTCGTTAGAATAAAGTAAGTAATTTCAACTTTAAAAACAAAGTTTATCTGTTTTATTTTAGACTATTGAAATTTTTTTTTTCATTTTTCATTCGGTAATTAATTACGACTCTCTTCTAAAGAAGGGTTTTTAAATATTAATCTCCTATCTAAATTCTTAAAAGTAAAAAAAAAATCATCAAATCAACAGATAAAAGAATTATAAATTTGTGGTAGCCAAAAGAGCCAGCCAACATATATAATAACATGTGGGTTGTCACACGCAAAGTATTGAGAATGGAATCTCCATAACGGCGTCGTTTTTTCGATAATTTAATTAATAATGAAATACTGATGAGGTGGAATAATTTATGATTTGATGCATTGTTATTTGATTTAAGTTGATATTACAGTAGCTATGAAGAGTTATTCCCGGAAATGTTTAGCAAATTTTAATGCTAAATTTCGGCAAGAATCAAGCATACCAGTATAAAAAAATTAGCTTAATTAAAGCATGGTGTTGAAACGTGGTGACAAAAATCTTCTTTGGATTATATGCACATTTTATTGTGCATTTTAATCAACGATATTGCTTGCTGATAAAGTTTATAGGCAGGATTTTTGGGAAATCAGTATGACAAAATGATTTTTTTTTTTATTACTAAATTTTTAATCAAAACCCAAAAAAAAAAAGGTACCATTCTATCATATAAGAGAAGTAAAATTATTATAATTTAATTTTTTTATTGATATTATATTATTATCTTATATACTGATGATAAAAAATTTAAGATTTACATAAAAAATTAAAATATATGTTATGTATTCAAAATATTTTTATGTATATCGACTTAATAATTTTTTATTTATATTTATATATAAATGCATCTAAAATGGCAACAGAGGTTAGGGTATAAAAGACAAATTCGTATTGACCATATAGCAAACTATTATAAGAGGTGGCCATTGACAAAATATTGGCAAGAGAGGTTGAGGGTATGACCTTGCCTTATTTAGTAATTTCACGGTAGCCTGATTATTTCATCTGCCTCCTGAAAGGAGGCTAATCAACGACATATACTGTTGTTTTGTATTTAATTTCCAGGACATAGTGAATTGATCTATCAGTCCAGAATAAAGTATTTAGTAAATTGTTTCTTTTATTATGATGGATTTTTGTTAAGCTTTTTCTTTTTTTTTTTTTTTTGGTTTTTTCAACAGAGCCATTATGAGGTATGGCCGGATGGGGACTTGCCAAAGGCTTCTAACCT